GAATGGATAAATATAGTTCTAATAATAAATAATAATAAGTAATAAATAATTCTAATAATAAGATAATAAAAGTTCTTTAAACTCTATTTATCTATATTTATCTATATTTACACTCTTTCAAAAAATACTTAAAAAATAAAAAAACCCTTAAAAAGGATCCCAGACATTAAACGCTTTAACAGCACTCTCTCGTGTGGGCATTTAATGATGTATCATTTAATAATTTTTTACAGTTAATAGTTTTATTTATTTATATTTTAAAATGAACAAACTCTGTTATGCATGTTTGCCAGATCACGTTAAAACTATATGATTATTTATAGCCTACCTTAAAATGGGTAGAATACGTTCAATATTCAATGTCGGTCAATAAATGGCAAACATTTTAGCCTCAAAATGCCCAATATACAACTTCTGCATACCTAATAGAAATTAAATTTATACCGCGTGAAACATTTGCAGGAACGATATAAAAGCGTCTTGCGCCTTTAAATCTGCCAGCGGCGCATTTACAAAACCACAAATTTCTACTGAGAAATTTTAAAGTGAGGCTAATTAACATGCATCCAAAATTACCTGGCAGACACGGTCAAAGTTAGTACGACTACCTGTACGTTCAAAACAAACCCACGAGGGTACTCATTCAAGGCAAGTGTGTGTTGTAGTGAGGTGAGGGAGAAACGGAGAAACAAAGAAATGCTAGCTAACGTTAATAGCAGCCTAGAATATCTTTCTGTTTAAACGCAAACTTACCGAGAATAGCATTGAATAGACATTTAGAGAGAACTTAACGAAATAATAGAAGTGATTGGTTTTTCTCAATTCTTCGTAAGACGGCATGGTGATAGCAACGTATCCTGATTCCGTGCATTCAGGTGTTAGCCGATGCCGCTAAGGGTCAATGAACCTTTGTTCTTAGAAACACAGAAGACTGTTTTTAAGACCAGTCCGAATACATAATAAGCTCTTCCTTCAAGTATTCAACTTGGCTGTGGATTCCTCTAAATTGTTTTGAAAAACACATCAGCAGCAACTGTAAGGTGCAACTCTTCTCCCAATAATAACTTCCGCCCCGCAAAACAACATCCTAAACAAACCCTTTAAAGGGCCAGCACAGATTTAAAGACACACAGATCGCATAGCCTAATTTCCATGGAAAACGTATAAACGAGATTCGCTTCAGATATCCTGACACATTCATTGACTTACCACCCGATCTAGATGACATCTGTTTTATAAAACATTTAGGTTGTCTGCTGCTACCCCATTGAACATGCCAAAGAAAGTATCTCTTTAAGATGTGTCACAATAGCTTTAATCCTCAGAAGTAGGCTACTTGTTGTCCAGTATGTAAGGTTTTATAAGGTATGTTCTTGCTAAATTGCTCCCAAATGTAAGATTGTTATATCATAATAGTAGAATAAGTTTACCCCTTAGTTCTATAATACTTAAAATATAAATAATTTTTAAATTCTCCCGGTTGTTACCCCTTTATTCCCCAAACTAAAAATATTGTTCCCTTGTACTTAATATTTTAAGTACGTTATTGGTAGGCCTACTCTATAATTACCAAAGGTTACACTGTAAAATCCCTTTAATTACGCAGTACTTTCCGGGCTGTATCTCAAGCATTACCTAAAATTGTTAACTGGTCAGGCAGTGTGTTATATACACGCAATTCAGCCGTGGCTGACTGGATTGAGCATCCAGCAAAGCCTCAGTACCATAGATGCAACGCGCATTTAAAAAAGCGCGGCGCTAGCACAATTTGTTTAAATGCAAAATACATTTTCACCGCTAGATGGCAGCAATTCCAACACAATGTCCTTTTAACGTAAATAGAACGTTTCCTTAAGGTTAGGGAAACGTTCTGGAAACTTTATGGGAACATTCCCTTTAGGTTATATAAAAATAGAACCTAAAAATAAGCTACAGGGAACATTCCCAAAACATTTTCCTTAATAAGTTATAAAATTAAACCGAAAAATAACCTACAGGGAACGTTCCAAGAACGTTGTTGTTTGGTTCCCAAAAAATAACCAAATGGTAACCATACGGGAACGTTAGGGGAATGTTCTGTTTGCTGTACTCTCGCTGTAAGGAAATACATAGGCCTAGTTTATTTTATTACAAATATAGGCTAATCTAATACATTTGGCATGATTGATTTTAGACAGACAGAGCCAGCCAGTCACTGACAGGTCATGTGACATGCCAGTGGCGGCTCCTGCCAGCCAGCTGAAGATTGAACCCCAATCCTATTCGGTCTATAAACACCTTTGTGAAAGGTAAACAGCCAGGTGCATGGCACAGATTTGCAAAATAAACATTTTAATAATTTAACGGAACATATTGACAAATATTTACATGTATTCTGCTTCTGCCATTCAACATTCTAGGCACACATTAGCTATTCAGTTGACATGGACAATACAAACAAAATCACTTATTAATTTTTATTCAAAGTCTTGAATTCAGTTACACATGCCCAGATTTATCAAGACCACAGATGAGTCAATATATATATGAAGAGTTCAGATGCAAAAGCCTCTAAATGCCATTTGAAATTTTCTTCTTTAACGATGAATAATAATTAATAGGTAATTATTATTGCCATTTAAGTGAAATCACTGAACTTAAATATACAAGCTTGATAAAAATTATCATTATAGAAGAAAATTTCAAATGGCATTTAGAGGCTTTTGCATCTGAACTCTTCATATATATATATATATATATGTGTGTGTGTGTGTGTGTGTGTGTGTGTGTGTGTGTGTGTGTGTGTGTGTGTGTGTGTGTGTGTGTGTGTGTGTGTGTGTGTGTGTTTAAATGAATGGTGTTGGGCAGCATTAAGCAGTTTGTTACCCCTCTCTTTTACTCGTTTCCCCGCTCATGGTCAGGATGACAGTTGGTGTGTGAAATTATATTTCCAATTTCTTTCTTGTGGACAACCAGTGGTCAGCCAAATCTTGATTTGTTGAGCAGATCTCCTTGCCTGAGGATATTACATGTTGCTAATCAAAAAGAAGGTAGTGATGAGTGCACGCAGGACTGAAAAAAAGATGAGAGCATTAAAAGGATTGCCAAGCTATAGGCTATTTTCTGCATCCATTGAATCTTTTGAGTGAACCAGTTTCCTTCAGATAATCTTGACTGGTTTAATAACAGAAAATATCTTATACAGTCAACAAAACTAAAACAATACAAAAAGAGCTAAGAAGGAAATAAAAAATACACCCATATGTGTGGGTGGAATTGTCAGCGACCCAGATGCTGTCATGATGGTTAATTAACATTGATGAGTTGCCACAGCACATCCTAATTATATGCATCCCCAAGTCCCATAGAGGTTCTTGAAGGAATCTGAAATTCATCTAATGCATGTGATGGACTTTCTAACCCCCCTAAACCCATTGAATTGATGGCTACAACAATGAAATTTGCATGCCTGTGGAGTAGGACTTGAATTGAGTTGGAATTGGATGGATTGTTTTTTTTATACAAGAAGAAAACAAACTAACTCTAACTGTGAATAGAAGATAGCACCATAAATGTTTTGTGTGAGATTATCTAAAAAGGGGGTTATTTTAAATCATTACAGAGAGATAGAAACTAATCATGTCTAGAGCAGAAAGAAACAAGGATACCTGTCAGCAAAATCTCACCTTCTTTATAAATTAAAATAAGCTCTGTAAATGGCAGTTCATCTGGTATCAAAACATCCCTTTGCTATGTGGACACATTCTTGAATAATGCATGTATTCATATGGTGCATGATGGCAGTGAAATTATGGCCAAAAGAATGAAAACACCCTCTGCAAAGCGGCATCCATTCAGAAATGATTTACTGTGTCTGATGTGGAAGAAGAAGGCCTTGATCCACAAAACCTCAGCGAACACCTTTAGGATGAAATGGAACAGCATGTCAGGCTGCATATAACACATGATGCTCCCATATCTTGTTTAACATGGCAAAAAAAAAAAAAAAAAAAAAAAATTAATCCCTTCCTTTGCAACCATAACAGCTTGCAGGCTTCTTGGAATGCTTTCCACTGAATGATGGAACATGGATGCAAGGATTTGTGGGCATTCAGAGCAATGTTTTCTTGCAGTAGGCTAAGTGTTCCAACTGGTTCTGTAGCTGTCCAGATCCAAATGAAAAATAGTCTAGAAAAAGTTGTGTTTACTCAACATTGTCCGTCCTGTACATGGTCTTAGCAGACTGGCTGATTGAGTTTAAGTTTAACGCGCATTCAGATGAAACCACCAGGGGGAGACCGTGAACTTTCATTGAATTACTATATAGAAATGACTTGGTCTTGGTGTAGGTAAATCATTGGCTTGATGTCGAAAGGAACTGGTAAAAGGCGTTCCCATGGTAATTTACACCGTTACCAATGTCAAAAGTTTGAACGTCTTAGTCTTTTTGGCTTTAGGCCTATCCATTATTTTTTTGGCCTTTTCCGTCCAATCTGAAAGAACCAACATCGTTCAAGTTGCATACAAGGTCTAAATGAATCGCATTTCATATTAAAAAGATAACACTCGCGCTCATATTCGTGCACACAACATCTGCGCGAGTCAGAAAAAAATAATATTTCAATCTGCAAGCAGCGGCACACCTGGCGCGCTCTGAATTACATATGAAGAATAGAATAAATACCGTATTAAAAAGAGATAATTATGTTTGAAAGTGGAGGTGGGGGTGTCGTCCCTTCGTTTCCTCTCAGAGCCGCGTGTATCTGCAGCATCTGCTCATGTGTGCGCGCGACTTCTCTTTTGGCACACGCTGCGCACTTGGCAGTGACGCTCAGACGAGTGAGGTGTGTGTAACCAAGAGCTAAAATTGGTTTCGTGATGAGGAAAAGTGAAGGAACAAGCCGTTGCGATCTGTTCTCCTGACTTGTGTGAAGGAGCACAGGGATCATCAGAGGAGACAATTGAAGAATACTGTTCGGAACACCTTTTGCGTAATAAACTCAACAATTTATTTATTTTTTTCTCGAAAGGGAACATGGTCGATATAGCCTACGAGATCCAGCACAAAAGAAAAGAAGATACAATATTTTAAATCGCACTTAACATTTTCCCGATAGGAATGGATTCGCTCATCACTTCCAATGACTTCCAAAGTAACTGGACAAACAACTCAATAGCACAAAATGAAACCGAGGTTTACTGGAACCAGTTTGTGCAACCTGTTTGGAGGATAGTGCTCTGGGCAGTAGCGTACAGCACAATTGTCATTGTCTCCGTGGTGGGCAATATTACGGTAATGTGGATCATTTTGGCGCACAAACGAATGAGAACCGTGACGAACTATTTCCTTGTGAACTTGGCGTTCGCTGAAGCGTCAATGTCTGCATTCAACACCGTTATAAACTTTGTTTACTCCGTGCACAACGAGTGGTATTTCGGACTCAATTACTGTCGATTCCACAACTTCTTTCCTATAGCCGCAGTCTTCGCTTCCATCTATTCAATGAGCGCGATTGCGCTCGACAGGTAAGTTCATTCCCATTCACACAATGACACGCACAATGACACACGTTGGGTTTCTCGTTGACTGGCTGTGCTTGTGCCTGTTCTGTCGCTGTAGAAAATGTTCAAAATTTAAATGACTTTTGTGTTTTTCGTAAAACAGACCATTAAAGCATTTTCCTCCTGATTGTAGAACGGTAGCCTAATTTCTTATCAGCCACCCCGTCTTGAAGGGTCTAATTTAATAGCCTATTTTTACTCCACAAATCTAAAAACATTACATGTATAATACGCAACAGATCAATATTATCTAGAAAAATTAAACCTAAAATTGAATTGACTAAATATTTAAATGATGACGTATGACAATAAAAAAAAGAAATGAAGACCATAGCCAAGATGTTTCAACTATATTTAGTTTTAATGAATTCATTACATTTGTATTAATATTTAATTGTATTAATATTGTATTAAACAGCTCGCAAACATAGCCCACAGTAGGCTTCTTTATCAGTAAAAATGGAATTAGAAGTAGGCTAATATGCAATTTTTTTAAGACATTCTCTATATACAACCATTTTCCAAATGGCTCTTAAATTGAGTGCATATGGGATCCTATATCCTATAACCTTTTGCCAGCAACTATGGTTACAATGTTGCTATGTTATAACATTTAGCAATGTTTAGTTCTGCCTTCACAATGCGAACGCAAGTGTTAAATTGCTCTTTTCATATCTATTAGAAATGATCACAGCATACAGTAAATGGCAGAGGTCATTTGCCTGTGATGTCATATGATAGATGATGATTATTTGTCATCCCACTCATAGCCTATATACCATAGTCGTCATTTAGAAACCCTAATTTCTTTAGTGTTTGTGGTTGAGAGGTGATTGTGTCTGCTTTGTTTCTTCATTCATCAGTTGCCTGAATGTCTATATAGCAGCAGCATGTCTGAAGTTTCATAACCCCGTTCTAATTGTAAGATGTCATGTTTCCAATCTTTTGACACTGCACAGCAAATATTTTAAAAAAAAACATGCCTGCTTACATTTATCTACTTGCAGAAACGTGAACTTCTTTACAATTCTATTACCTGAGAGACCTGTGGAGATGGAGGGCTTATTGCGAAGACTTCACTGTGTATGCTTAGGTCCTTCTGAGGAAATACTTGTCAGAGAGCACTAATGGGTTATTTATCTTAGAAAAAGATGCAAGCCAAGATTACATTCTCCGAAGACATGTTTTGAAGCATACACAGCAAATAGGTTTACTTACAAATAACTGAGAGGAATGCCTTGATTTTTCCTGTAAAGAAGACATTTACAGAGCCGCTTTTCATTAAGCACTCCATTCAGTAGTTGAATCCTGTAAAATTTGAGCATGTTTATCTTCAGTTAGTTTTAAGTGATTTCTGTCATGCAGTGATGTGATTATTATCAACTAATGGGCAATATGAGGTTGGAAAATTGAATTATGCCCAAAGATGTAGTGTAGTAAAATTTAATTAGCATTCTCAGAATGCTTGCTCCTGACAAACCTTAAATAATTTTCTATTAGATGAAACCATTGAAGTCAGAATGAAATTAAAATTCGCCCTATCCATTTATTCTAAATGCATTTTATTCAGCATACAATTCATTCATGCATTTCATTTTTTTTACCTCATTTTTTTTTTTTTTATCAAAATGTCATAACTCGATCTACGGTAAAAATTGCCTCTCTGGTGATTGTTCCTTAACCCTTTAGTCTGCTTAAAACCCTGCCCCTTTCTTACAATTGACTACAAGTTCATAATCAGATTTGCCCCCTGTCCAATCAACAACCAGGCAGAACCCCAGATGTCCCTGCACTACACTTAAATTAATATTCAGTTTTACTCGGATGTACGCCATGCACAATACAGGAAAAACATCTGTCTACTTTCATTGCGACTTTAAGAAAGGCACAATAACAAAGCCATTAAATACGTTTTGTAAGTACATACTCATAGACCACTTTGTTATGTACACCTTGCTGGGTTTGAATCTCTTTTGACTTCAGAATTGCCTTAATTCTTCATGGCATAGATTCAATAAGATGCTGGAAACATTCCTCACAGATGTTGGTCCATATTGACATGATCGAAGTAGAAATTGAGACTGATCAGAGCATGCAGGCAACGTTTTTTTCCAATCTTCTACTGTCCAATTTTGGTGAGCCTGTGTGAATTGTAGCCCCAGTTTCCTGTTCTTATTTGAGTTTATGTTGCCTTCTATCATCTCAAACCATTCTGGCCATTCTCCTCTGACCTCTGGTATCAACAAGGGCAACAGAACTGCTGATATACTGGATTTTCACGCATGTCAGAAAAATAGAAAATATGAAGAGTTCAGATGCAAAAGCCTCTAGATGCCATTTGAAATTTTCTTCTAAAATGACCATTTTTATCAAACTTGTATATAAGTTCAGTAATTTCACTTAAATGACCATTAATAGGTAATCTTCATTGCCATTTAAGTGAAATTACTGAACTTAAATATACAAGCTTGATAAAAATGATCATTTTAGAAGAAAATTTCAAATGGCACTTAGAGGCTTTTGCATCTGAACTCTTCATATCCTGTGAGTGATATTTTCTCTTTTTCTGACCATTCTCTGTAAACCTTAGAGATGGTTGTGGGTGAAAATCCCAGTATATCAACAGTTTCTTAAAAACTCAAGACCAGCCCACATGGTACTGACAACCATGCCACTTTAGTCACTTAAATCACCTTTCTTCCCGATTCTGATGCTCAGTTTGAACTTCATGTTGCGTCTCAGTCAACTCTACAGTAGTTGGGGCACTGATCTGGGAGTTGGCCATCTTAAGGGCTATCTCAATTGTAAAATCCTACTAATGCACTAAAAAGTTTGCTCCCTAAAAAGTCTTACAGAGCACCGTGAAAACCAGGAATCATCCGATCTCACGGGAATTCGTACGAATTTTACGAGGTGGCTAATTCGTAACAATTCGTACGACCTCACTCGTACGAATTAGTACGATTTTGCTAAATCGTACATATTTTACGAATTAGCCAATTCGTATGAATTCGTACGAATGACCTACCCCTGACCCCGCCCCTAAACATAACCGTCACGTGGGTTTAGACAAATCGTACAAATTCGTAAGAGTGAGGTCGTATGAATTAGTACGAATTAGCCACTTTTAAATCACTCGTACGAATTCGTACGAATTGGTCATGAGATAGTGTAGGATCATCAATACTCACTATGTTCCCTTAAAGGGTTAGTTCACCCAAAAATGAAAATTAAGTCATTAATTACTCACCCCCATGCTGTACCAACCCCGTAAGACCTTCGTTCGTCTTCGGAACACAAATGAAGATATTTTTGATTAAATTTGAGAGCTGTATAACTACCACATTGGCTCCTAAGGGACTGCCTCTTGACGGCCCAGAAAGTCAATGAAGAAAATGTTTAAATATCCCAAGTGACTACCGTGGCTCAACTATATGTTTATCAAGCGACGAGAATACTTTTTGTGCGAAAAAACAAACAAAAATAACGAGTTCCTGAAAAAAGAAACGAGAGTTCCTTAGATTTCCACGACGCATGCGCGAGAATTGCGATCTGAAGTAGTGTAAGTAGATCGCAATTCTCGCGCATGCGTCGTGGAAATCTAAGGAAGTCTCGTTTCTGGCCTACAAGGAAGAAAAGGAATAGTCGAATAAACTCGTTATTTTTGTTTGTTTTTTCGCACAAAAAGTATTCTCGAACTAACCCTTTAATAGAAGTTCTGTCGCACAAAACATAAATCAGAGCCATTACACTATACACATAATGACATGCGATAGATGTTTTTAAAAATACAAACCATGTTTTAATTATATTTTAGCATAAACATAAATCACTAGACAGGTTATCTGATTATTTACTGAAACGCTGCATGTATACGAAACAAGCAAGGTACATATCATAATGTACTTTAAATAAGAATAATGTCAGAAATATATCAGTTGTAATGTTGTTCATAAAAACCAGTAGTGATGTTGTACATGAGGACGTTGTCATGTCACCGGAAAAAAAAAAAAGTCACCCGTGTCCCAATGTGTAGAGAGCCAGGGTTTTTAATGTCCAGTGCCCAAATTCGTAGGGAAGCTAGAACTGCATGTCTACATGTCTAAATGCATTGAGTTGCTGTTTCAGATTAGAACAGGCAGTTGAACAGGTGTACCTATAATAAGTGGCCGGTAAGTGCATATATAAATGATATTTATATTTTTGACATTTATTTGCATGGATTTTACTTCTCATTTTGTATTACTGTGTATATTAAAATCATTCAGTAAAACCCAGTTTTCTCATATAGGCCCAGATTTCAGCTCTGTTGCTCTGGTTGAGTCATTGTGGCTTTGTTAACACATGCAGACGGGTGTTCATTCACAAACAGCAGCAGGGCTGTCACCTCTGTGCAGACAGATCACTTGGGCTAAACTGCAGTGTGACATAATTGTGTTACATGCTTTTAGTAGCAACAAACCATCGCCTCTTTGTCCAAATATAACATCTCACGCATAAACTGTTTTTACTTTTCGTTTCTTGCATTTAAACACACAAAAGTAGGCCTAAAAGTGCTGACAGGCACACAAGCCTCAAAGTCAAGTTGTGACGGCATGCTAAAGAGCATTTGCGTGCTGGTGAGACGGCACATGGCTCAGAGGCTCAAATTGTTATGTGTGGCAGGAATAGGATTCCTAATAAAATTACAGGACTAAAGTTAAATTTGAAGGAAAAGCACTGCAAGCATCAAATTGTGTAAGCCCACTGTCCATCTCCGCTCTCTCTGGCATGTTGTCGTTATTGATTTAGCCCTGCCGCTGGTCAGACCGATGATCTGTTTCCCTGAGCTCCACTTATGTCAAATAGATGTGCTTGAATGTATGGGTGCTGTGTCTGACCTCTTCACCTGCTGGGGAGTGTGCCATGAGTTCATTGTCAGTTCCTCATTTACTCACTCATCTTTTCTGGAACTGTATCCTTCAGGGCATTACTTAAAATTTTTGGGATTGTCTATCATGTGTAAGTTTAAGTGTTTGCGCCTGGTGGTGGTTCAGCTGTAAGGTTTTCCCATTATCAGTGGAATGGAAGTTCTCTCATTTGACTAAATTATGAATTTACAATTTGTTTATTTCTATGATGTTTGATTTTTATGCTTTACGGAACTAGATTTCAAATAGCAATAGTTCACCTGGAAATGAACATTAAAATCATTTACTCACCCATATTTTTCTAAACCTGTATGAACAATAAATAAATAAATAAATAAAGAGGTATTTTAAAAATATGCTCACTCTTTTCTGTAATGAAAATGAGAAGACTGGATCTGTCAAACTCCAAAATGACAAAACTGCACCATAAAAGCCTCATAAAAGATGTTTTGGTAATTGTTCCCCTCTGCGTAAGCTCTAAAATGCATGTCAAAAGTCACATAGACTGCAAAAATGACACTTTAAATCTATTAATTGCCAGATACCATGGGCTTTTGCATGTGTCAAAACCAAATGTGATTGCTGCCAGTGGTGTCAACATTGATTTGAGTGCTGCTGAAGAAGAATTCCAGTGAATAACAACAGACTTTAGTCTGTTCTTCACACTTTTTTCCACGATGCTTATATGCTGCTTTTTGTCATTTTGGAACCTGAACTAATTTTTCTCCTCACTTTTATTATAGATATCCTGCATGTTCTTAAGGATTAGTTTACTTTAAAAAAAAACTTTTTTCTGATAATTTACTCACCCCCATGTCATCCAAGATGCCCATGTCTTTCTTCAGTCGAAAAGAAACTGAAGAAAATCGATTTTTCTCCATTTATTGTACTTCAATGGACCCCAACCATTTCAAGGTCCAAATGACTGTTTCGTTGAAGCTTCAAATGGGCTTTAAACGACACCAGACGATGAATAAGGGTCTTATCTATAGCGGGAAGATCGGTCATTTAAAAAAATAGATTAAAAAAAGTTTAGGTTTTATAAGCTCAAATGCTCACCTTGCTCTGTTCTGTGATACACGTTCGTGACTCCTGTTTGAACTCGTTCATCAAAATGAACTAATCTTTTTTCGAGTCATTTGGTTCACCAAATGACTCGAACAAAGATTTGTGTCCTGAAAAAGCCCTTTGAAGCTGCACTGAAACCATTGAAGTCCATTGGGTCCATTGAAGATGTTTTCATCAAAAACCTTAATATCTTTTCGACTGAAGAAAGAAAGACATGGACATCTTAGATGACATGGGGGTGAGTACATTATCAGCAAAAGTTTTTTTTTTAAAGTGAACTAATCCTTTAATAGAAGTGAAAGATTTGCATTCATATTCACTTATTTGTGTTCCACAGAAAAAGGAAATTGTATGGGTTTTAGAACAACATAAGGGTGAGTAAAAGATGACAGATTTAACATTATTTTAATGTGACATTGGTATTCTTAAAAACAAAAATATTCTGTGTGCAGCAATCCATGCAGGGACTCGAAATTTGCACAGAAGAAAAACAATGGTCTGACACAGCTGCCTAAAATTGGCCTGAACCTATAATTTATTAAAATAAATTGATCATTATTCAGGTTCTGAATCTACAAGACAGCTGCGAGTATTAAGACTAGGGCAAGGAAGTTGGAGACTAATTAAAAAAGAATGTAAATAAGGAGAAGGAAATACATTTTTTATTGGTCAGAAAAATGTGTTCCTCAAAACTCTCACCAGACAGAGACTTATTAATGAAGTCACTGAGATATCAGTTGTCACTTTGAAGGAGATTTTACAATAAAGGGATTAAAAGTGAACCCGGTTAACCATATCAAGATCTCTGCTGAACATTGCTCACGTGGAAGGATATCACAAAAGACACTATTACTACCCTGCCTGAAGTTTGACCTATAGATTTCATTAACAATCCTTTGAAAATCTAGAAGAATATAGAAAAAATCTAAAACAGAATTGCAATTTTGTTGCCAAATGCTGAGATCATTTCAATAATCAGCGATGCAAACAGCTTATACTTTTATGCAAAATTTGCTGTTTTAAAAGCTAAATCAGCCACTAATGTGATGTAACTTTGAAAATAACATGAAGATTGGTTTCTACAATTTACTATATAACAACATAAGTGGGATATTAACATCATAGTCATTCAAATAAGAATCGCTTCAATTCAATGGGAATTCAATGGGATTCTATAGAACTATAAGGTTCTTGGCTCAATTTTAAAGAACCATTTGCAATAAGATTAAGGATAAATGTATTAATTATTTTTAACAGTTTGATAACGTATGTTTACAAGCTGTTTAATTAATAAAATCGAATAAAAAAATAATTAAAACTAAATCAATAAAATGATCTCATGAGGAACACCTAAAATATGAAGCTCCTGACAGAAACCTTTAAGGTTCTGTATAAAATCTTCTGAGCGTGTAGTAGAGACCACACATTTAGTAATGATGGAATTCAGAATGGGAGTCTTTATATTTTTTCAAGGCATTGTATGTGTGGCTAAAACCAAAAGAAAAATGCACACCAGACACAGATTCTAAGGGAAACAAAGAAATGTCTGACAAAGCCTGACCTTCAGTCTGAAAGTTGTACATTGAGTGCTGCATGGTTTCTCTCAGCTAAATAAAGTGAAATAATCATTGCCACAAACTGATAATTGGAACATATATAGTAAATAACTGTAGATTTCACAGGCATTTTTTACAGTGTATCCTATTAAGGTTTTTGATATCACAATGACATATTTGCTTGTTGTCAACAAGCAAATGCATCATTGTGATAAAATGAGCTCTGCAATAATAGTGGATTTGTGCGGTTATTAGTTTTGGGTTTATGCTTTATATAGGCTACAACAAGTTGTACAAATCCACTATTGTAGGTACTCAATATACTTTGTATTTGTATGCTGTGTGTGGGGGATTTACTGGGCTTCATTCCATTTTATAATGATACAGCAGCTTCATATTGGAGCAAATGATTTAAGAGGATTTATCTTTGATACAACTGAGGATCTGCTGGACAGAGACGTGTGTGTGTGTGTGTGTGTGTACGTAAGTCACTGATGTGTTTCCTAAATTGTTTAGAGTGCAGAGCAGCATCTCTTGCTTTCAAGCACAGCTTGAACTGCAACGTATGAATGAAGATAACAGTGAAAATAACTGTGGTTGTAAATAAGAGTGAATCTGTGCTGAGAGCCAAATCAACAAGTAGTCAGGTTTGTCTTCATTGACACACAATGTTTTCTATACTCTTAGAAGAAAGATTCTATAGGCCTATAGAACCTTACAGGGTTATTTTATTAATTTAGTTTTAAGCTACGCTATCTCAAGACCAATTAGTACAAATTCGCACGAGTGATTAAAAAGTGGCTAATTCGTACTAATTCATTCGACCTCACTCGTACGAATTCGTACGATTTGTCTAAAGCGACGTGATGGTTAGGTTTAGGGGCTTGGTCAGGGGTAGGTCATTCGTACGAATTCATACGAATTGGCCAATTCGTAAAATATGTACGATTTAGCAAAATAGGGTAAGGTCGTACGAATTGTTACGAATTAGCCAACTCGTAAATTTCTTACGAATTCCCGTGAGATCGGGTTGGTTTTAATTTATGATATATGTATGAATTTATATATATATATATGATATATGTATGAATTTATATATATATATATATATATATATATATATATATTGATCTTTTTTATCAACTCAGTTTTAGTTTTAATTAAATGTTATGAATTAAACTTTATTACTAGAAAATTGTTAAATGGCCTATTAAATATGAAAGTATAATGCAATCATTTAAGACATTTCCCACACACAATATTTAGAACACACAATATTTACTTAACCACTAAAGTATGGGCATTTATTTTGTAAAAAATAAAAATATAAAAATAAAAATTAGAATTTTTGGGTTTTATTGGTTAATATTTATGAATTAATTAATAGTTCACGTTAAGCTTAACTGGAAATAAGCTTAAAGCCTTAAAGTAAAAAAAAGAAAGATTGTTGAAAATAATACCTCAGCATTCAACAGATGTGTTCTTCCACAGATATATGGCCATCATTCATCCCCTGAAGCAGAGGATGTCTGCAACACAGACCAAGGTGGTCATCGGGGTCATCTGGGTTCTGGCTTTTCTGCTGGCCTTCCCCCAGTATTACTACTCTGACACGGACCAGCTGCCGGGCAGGGTGGTCTGCTACATCGACTGGCCTGAGTACACTCTCCTGGACTTCAAAAAGATGTAAGCATCTCACTTTTAACTAATCAACACATACTTATCACCCATGCTGCCTTTTGCAGATATTGGAAAATATTTAGGTTTAATATGTGCTTCAGAGATTTATGGCTGTAGACTCAGAGAATTTCTTTTCCAGATCGAATTTCACCCCCATTTCCGGATATTGCTGGAAATATTATCTTTATGACTTTCTAATTTGGAGTAATCAAAAATCAGTGCTGCTTTCCCCCTAAGTGTTTACTTATATAACAACAGAGAGGAGCTTCATTAAAGACAACATTAAACACAGGAAAGTCATGGTCCTAAGAGAGAGTAAAGGAAAAAGTGCAAGATTATTAAAGCAAACATAATTGGAAATCTTGCCCAAGGGTAAAAACAATGACTTTACAAGAGCATACGCTAATGACTATTACTCCTCTGAGCGGTGGGGTATACTCTCAAAAAGTTAGCTTGTATTTAGATTGACGTTAATGAATGTGCTGAAGTGTTGAGGTCTAATATGATGTGCTGTGCAAATGGTGCACAAAGCTGTCGTCCGGTAGGGTTCAAGTCCAGTGAGTCCATAGAAGCCGAGATCATTCTGCAAAGAGTTATCATGGGCGTCACTTTGTTTTAAAATGCGGTGAGGACAGTTGTGGTGGTGGGGGGGGGGGGGGGGATGCACAGATGTGCCTGATATGATGTCACAAATCCGCTTAGCTCATGAAATACGATTATACACAAATATCTCTGCTAAACAGAGAACTGTTTTGATAAATAGTGCATGCGATGTACTGATTCAGATTTCAGGCACCGAGTGTTTGCTCATTTCCAAGTTCAAACTGAAAAGTAAATCGAGATTAGAAATATGTAAATGTGACTTAAACAACTCTTTTGATAGATTAGAGCGTGTTTCTGGGGAGAACATTGACACCGCCACTTAGTTATGAGCAACTACAATGAGCACTTGGCAAAACAATAACAATTTCCAGCACTGAATTATTATTCATTGGAACACACTAAGACTAAATAAAAACTTCTGCTCAACAATTAGAGTTTTTTTCTTCTTAGTTAGATATATTGGCAGAGAAAGACACCATATAAAGAGGTGTTATATCACCCCTTCTTTAAAGCTACACTGTGTGATTTTTACCCCCATCTAGCGGTGAAAAGGTATATGACCATCCAGTGAATTATTAGTTTCTGTTCCTCTCAATTCCGATTTCGTTTTAACTCCTACGGTGGCCAATGTAGTCCAAGATTAACATGGCTTCCAGTTCGACCACGTCCATGAGTGTTAACTCAACCGTAAACGCGAAAGTCGAAGCTTGAATTAACGGGTATGTCCCTCTTTGGCTAATGTACTTTCAAGATGGAGGGGCAACATGGCGGCCGACATTAGAACCCCTTACCTGTGTGTATTTTCAATGGCATATTATACACTCACAGGAATACTTTATTACTTGAATGAAGTAAATATACATTAATGAGCACATATTTTTGAAAGAACTAAGTGTTTTAGCTAAGAATAAACTAAAAGAGTTACACAGTGTAGCTTTAAAAGCCTAGTTTCTCATTATCATTCTCTCTTCTGTCTCTTTGTTAGATCATATCTGTACATTTCAATCTCTCGTTTCTGCCTCTCCCTCATATTCTGTTTTGTACAACATTGATAACTTTCTGGTGTACTTGTTATATTCCTGCTACTCTCTGCTTTAGTCCTTCTGTGTTAGTTAGTGAAGGAGTCAGCTTTCTTTCTTTTCTGCTGTGGTGTTCCGTGATTCATTATAGTTATCCACTTTACACGCTTAGAAAAGAGCAATGTTTTATTTTGTGTCACCATTCTTGGTCGAGTTACACTACTTGTGTAACTGTATTTAAATAGGGAAAACGTGGAGGTGTTTGGTCGCTTCTCTGCTTGGATCCTAATGAATGAACTGGGCTAGTTAAGTGCTATCAAAGTGTCTCGCGCTAGAGAGTGCACGCTCTGAGACAAGAGTATCAAGTAGTCTTAGTTAAGGGAATAACATTGTTTAATATGAAAAAACGGGAGGATCCCTTTAAGCACCCCAACATCTCTCTCGCTCTCTCTCTCTCTTTCTCACTAAAACTCATTTCACATTTTTTCCAAACTCCCCTCTTCCATTACAGTATCTTTCACACAAGTTGAGATGTGATATAAGACCTTTTTGCTGGTGTTTCTAACAAGGGATATGGAAGCTAACACATCCATTTTTGTATAACATATTTATCTAAAATTCCCAATTCACAAACTGCAAGGAACATTTATGATTGGTTTCACAGACTAGTCCCTGACTAAAATACATGTTTGAGCTGTTTTTACTGAAAGCAACCTGCACTGATATCTTAAAATATGTCGCTGCCATTGTTTTGTCACACCAAGATTCACACCAGTTTTTTTTTTTTTTTTTTTTTACGTTTATGAAAGCTACCTAAAAGTAGCGTAATACTGGCTAAATTTAAGTGAAGCCAGGCCTAAATCTCCTCATTTCACACTAAAAATATCCTTAAACTGTTAGTGGTCCCTTTTTTGGCCAAACTGGATCTGAACTTAAAGTTGTAATTCTGCTTTGGAATAACAGGGCTGGTCTCTTTTTAAATAAGACTTATTATATAAATAAATAAGCTCAGAAACTCCTCAGAAGCTCAGAAACTCATAAGCTCAGAACTCCATACAGCTCCCATACTATATTCTTCATTGGAAATGAAGAACTTCCTGTCTGTTGTTTGTCAGAAAAGTCGGCTTAAACTGTAGGCTCAACTGTCCTGAAACTGATAAGGAAAATGAGAAACTCATTATCCTTTTCATGCCATTCATTCCATTCCCGCAACTCTCCAGCAAAATTGATTTTAAATAAGTCTTAAAAAATTTTCCAAACACAAGTGGTTACCGGAGACACATTTGAAATGCATGTTAATACCAGGTGGAAATGCTAACGTGTCTCGACTGACCACTTGTGACCCATCTTACAACCAGATATAAACTTACAGGAATACATGTTGTAGTAGATTTTTTCTTGTCTCATTGGCAAATAGTTTTTCTTGAGGATAAACTTCACAAAATATTATTAGATTTACTGTATGCATTAAACAATAAAAAAAATAATAATAATTGTCAATGGGGTGAAACTCCCTTGATGTGTTAAAGCAGATCCTGGAAGGGTTGGGGGGATTTGGCTTTTCTGGGAGTGGGAGTATATAAGACTCATTTGGGAAAGCTTACCTCCTCAGACTGACATCAGACGTTTTTCAATAATTTATATAAAATGTTATATATTTGATATACCTACTCTTAATTTGTCCAGTTAAGCTACAAAATGACAACGCATTCTCACCCCAAGGCGTCACTTTTGACCATGCTTCAATATTTGATGCTTTAGGCGCCCTTTAGCGTCAGTTACATGTCAGTTACTAAAGGAAAGCGTCAGTTAGATGACGCGGGTAGGTTTAGGTCTGGGGTAGGGGTAGGGTTACGCGCAATCCTAGGGCGTCATCTAACTGACGCTAAAGGGCGCCTAAAGCGTCAGATATTGAAGCATGGTCAAAAGGCTTCCTGACGCCTTGGGGGTGAGAATGGGCTGAAAATGATTAATAGTAAGGTCTAATTGGTGTACCTTCTTTATATAATGCCTCAGAGTTAGACATTGATGTATTTGTAAACTAAAAACCAAGCCAAAAATAAAATAAAAAAGATATTGTGCAATGTATACCAGCAACTTCTAGCAGCATCACTGATCTCACAACCATGCAGGAAGTAAAAACAGCACAATCAGAGCCACATGAGGTTGGATGCACTCAGCGGGAGAAAAAACTGTCTTCAGCAATGTATGCTGTGTGCCATTCATCAACGCCAGCTTGAAGATTGGACTCATAATACTGCAGTCTTCTTGTTTGTCTTAAAGGGATACTCCACCGGGTTTTCATATTAAACTATGTTATTCCCTTAACTAAGACGAGCTGATGCATACTTCTCTCGTCTCAGTGCGTGCACTCTATCGCTCTGTATTGCCGCAAAACTATGTTAGCACTTAGCTTAGCCCAGTGCATTAAATATGGGCCAAAAAGAGAAGCGACCAAACACTTCCTCGTTTTCCCTATTTAAATACAGTTACTCGATTAGTGTAACTCGACCTAGGCTGGTGACACAAAATAAAACGTTGTGTTTTTCTAAGCGTTTAAAATTGATGACTATATTGTATGGCGGAATACCATAAAAAAGTGCTTTAGAGCACTTCAACTTGGCGCAATAATATACCTTCACTCGTGAAAAGTCCTCTTACCGGCTCCCGCTTTGTCGCATGTCACGTTGGCTGCGTTGACGGAAATAAGAGGGAGGGGGAGAGCGAGGAAGCGGGAACGCTTAGAAAAACACAACGTTTTATTTTGTGTCACCAGCTTAGGTCGAGTTACACTAATCGAGTAACGTTTAAATAGGGAAAACGAGGAAGTGTTTGGTCGCTTCTCTTTTTGGCCCATATTTAATGCACTGGGCTAAGCTAAGTGCTAACATAGTTTTGCGGCAATACAGAGCGATAGAGTGCACGCACTGAGACGAGAGAGGTATGCATCAGCTCGTCTTAGTTAAGGGAATAACATAGTTTAATATGAAAACCCGGTGGAGTATCCCTTTAAATGAGACACTTTCTTCAGAACTTCACACACACACACACACACACATACAGTATAGTCATACTATACACAGCTTGTAATTATTGATTATAAATATCAAATTCATTTAACAAAGATAAATCCCCTCATATTCATATGCTCTTTTGTAAAACCACTTTTTGAGTGTCATTGCCATCCAGTCAGCAACTGACAGCATGTGACAGCACTATTTTCATAATGAAACCATAATGACTAGTACAGATGGGTTAAGTGTGCCAAACTGAGATGAGAACTGTCTCGTGTTAACATAATAGATGTCTGATTAGAAGTGACATCAGGTCTGTTTTACAGCCCTTGAATTTGTTTTGAAGTGTTGGACAACGCACTGTCTCACT